CTGCTTTTGACATTTTTGCAATAAATAAATGATTGTAATTGCATTCATCTGTCTGTCATGTTTTCTTATACTGTACAGAAATGTTTAGGTTTATAGGTTGGAGTGGAATTAGCGACTATAAAAATATTTTAATGCTATATTGTTACTAAAATTGTTATTTTCCTGCTTATTTCGGTCATTTGCGTTTTATATTCCCTTTATGGGTAGGTTAAGGTTTGGGGGTAGTTTAAGGGGTAAAAATCTAAATTCCGTATTAATAAAATTATAAAAATGCATATTCGCTATAAAATGGGTAGGTTAAGGGGTCTAAAAATCTAAATCGCTTATTGATAAAATGATAAAAATGCATTGATACTAATATCTTGATATAAAAGATACGTAAATATTTTTACGATTTGTACGTTTTAAACGTTGAAATACGTATAAAAGTGTACGTTTTGTGCTTGTAAATGTTACGTATTAATACCTACGTATAAACATGAGACCAGGCTGCAGTGTCACAATATACATTCATTAACTAATCATCACAACCTACAACTTAAACTACAAGATTACATCATGATGTGTTTATATGATATATATGGTGAAGCGTGTTCATACTTACTTAAACACCTAATCTTCCCTCTCCATTCTCCTTGCTCACAGGTCAAGTATTTGGAGAAAGATTGACGCAGATCCAAAGTGAATTTATTAAAGCAGCTGTATTCAACTCTCTCCCCTGTATTGTATTCCTTTCTTGTTATTTCTATTGTATCTGCATCGTTCACGTCTGGTGGTGGTCCACATTTCTCTGAGACTGTCATCAAGAAAATGTGGCATTAGTAAATTTTAATATTAGTCAGATTACCTTTTTTTCTGCAGAATTAGACCAAGTCAAGAGAATCTTGCGTGCGCATTTATGTGCCAATTGGCGCACATATTATAATATGAGCAAAAGTGATGCTTGTGTTGCATTGTCTTTCCAGAATTTCATTGTATGGCTCAATGCACTTGTTTCTCAGAATTTCTTTGTTGTTGTACAAATAGGTCTCATTCAGCAGCATCAATACATTTTCATTTGATTTGTGACATTCTTCTAATAGAACAAGTGCAAAATGAAAAAATGTACAAATGTATTGACTGTATGTAAAATATGCCAAAAAAATTATGAAAATTAAGAAAATATATGTGAGACTGAGTGGATTCAGATTCATTCTTTTAAATTTAGCTTGCTAATATCTTTGGATAAATTCAGGTTTGTTCATGCTTCAGGTTTGTTCATCATAAAATAGCATCATCTATTTTTGCAAAATTTGTAGCATTTAATAGCAGAAACATACCAGTGCATTGCTGACGTAAGCCTATCCACTGGCCCCGGTAATCACAGGTGATTTCAAAAGGCTCCTCTGGTTCAAATCCAGGATGACATTTAAATGTTATTCTTGAATTGACTCCATATTTTTGTCTCTGACCTCGAACAATATCTGCATTTGGGATGTTAGGTGCTGCACACATTTCTGTAAAACATCCATCATACTAATTACAATTCATCAATGCACAGATACATAATAATTTGATTGGATACTGCAAAAATTATTGTTTCACGACATTCAATGGAATTAGAGGCAACATGTCAATAAACTGTACCATACCACCAAATCAACAATCTTAAAATGTATATTATGTTAGTAGCAAAGATTTTAATACTCCACCGCAGAACATACCAGCACACAGTGGTTTTGGTGTCCATCCGTCTCG